AAACTCCCAAACCACGTGTCTCAGTTTGCGACGATGCACACTTCCTGTAATGCTTTATTTTTGAAATGGAGAACTGCTCAACGTCAATTCCTAAAAACTGCCTTGATTTTTCCTCTTGGTGTGCGGCAAATTTTGGAAAAAATTCAAGAAATGATGCTCACTTTTGTTCTTCTTTCAAAAATAAAATGAGAGCGGAGATTTTTAGACACCGCAAACGAGATGCATGGTTTGGGAGTTTCAATGCGGATATGCACAGCTTCAAGAGCAAGATCCGACCCTTGGGATAAAGCTTTACATATGAGAAAAGAATAATATTATAGCGGACGTGATTGGTCCGTGCCGTGACTGGATGGCGTGAGTAGAGGAATGAAATGATTTGTGACGGTTTTACACATATTCATTTTCAAACTCGACTTTTCTCTCTTAATCATCTTCGCTAAGCTACGGAAAAAAGCGATTTAAATCTTAATTAAGCTTGATTTGAACATTGATTAGAGAAGTATCTATTTTATTAGAGAATTTAATCAGTTCAGTTGAAAATTTAAAAAAAAAATGAAAAAGAAAGCAGAAAGACGCGTAAGACAGGTAGGCAAATCTCCCACGACTGATATTTCGTAACTTTCAAAATGTTGCAGCATTAGATTTTGAAGAGTTACTTATAAGCGGTGAGATGTTTGAAAAACATTATGAACGTTAGATATAACTTAGAAATGAACCATTTTGTGACCTTTGAGGATGATGATTTTCAATCATGAAACTCAACTTATTTTAATCTACAATTCCGTGAACGTGCCAGCTAGGGTTGGCACTTTTTAAATGCATGTTTTGTGAAATATGAGTTCAAGGTACATATGAAAAACAGTCCAGACGAATTGACTTCAAAAGTAGGTATTCTGGGAGAAGTCAACGAGTACTATAAATAATGGCACTACAAAGTGAAGTTTAGGAATACAGAGGATTTTGAGTTAACTCTTTCAAATTTACATTTTTTAAATTGAAATTCAAGCCCCTGTGCCATTGCTTGGTTTCTCTTGAAGTAAAAAGGACCTGCCATTGCACACTTTCTTGAAGTGCATCTCGTGCAAAATCTCTTGACAGTGACTTCTGTGGTTCTTAATCATATTGCGGTCGGCATCAGCATTATCCAGGCGTGCTCAAATCTTGTCCGCATAAGTTCATAGTCATGCATGATGCACTCCATACACCACTTTCACGATGCAAAAAATTGAAATAATATTTGCTCTAATCTTGACGAGGCGCTCTGTCACTTCACACACCGATGACCGTGCAATGTCCTGTTCCCCGTTGCCGTCGTTACGATAAAATATACTGGAGGCCCGTCCAGCATATTTTATTATACTGAAGATTTTACCATAAAATTGCCACCGTCCGTTGACTTTCCAACTTAGATTTTCGAAAAATCGTCACTACGTGCCTACTTACGTTACGTAACGCAGTTCTAAACGACAGCCTCCACCCTGTAACGCACCCGTGACAAAGTCTCAGACCCCCCTCCCTTCCTATAAGTCCTGAAATTTTCAAAAAAAAATTTCAAAAAAAAGCTACAGGACGGAAAAAATTAATGAATAATTTAAAAAAAAATAAAAAAATAAAATAAAAAAAAAATTTAAAGGCCTATTTTTCCATCCCTGACGAATCACAAATAACGAGTTATAATTGTTGGATTAGGGACAAAAAAAATTAACTCTGTCGTTAAGAGTTGCAAAATCCCTCAAAAGGTCGTTGAGAAACTTGCCAAAAGGTATTAAGAACCTACGACTAAAAAGTAATCACATGTTGCGAAATCTCAGGATGGACCAAAAAAAGCAGCATACTCCTCGCAAAGCTATCAATCACTTGGTGCTCGGCATTTGAAGTCGCTCGGATAAACACGACGCAAAAATTTTAAATGTTACAACAATACAGCCGCAAGGCATTTTCTGAGCAAGATGCCCATCTTACACCCAAGATGCTCAAGAACTAATATGTTTTTTCTGAATTTTGACAACTTTGAATTTATTACAATGTACAAATCTCAGATCATTCAGAGGTATTTGTTTTATATTCAAATAACGTCACAGACGCAACTTCCATCAGCCAATTTTGTGTAAAAATTAACCTGATTTATAGTATTTCAACGGACAATATTTCAAATATTCTAGTCAAACCGAAAACAACGTTCGACATCAACGCGGTACAAATTGTTCCTTGTCAAACTCCGGATATAGATCGTTGAGACTTCTATCTCTGACTTCTATCGTTGAGGAAGATTGTGACATAGGAGTAGCTTCTAAAGAAAACCAGTGAATCGGTAGCCTAAATTGACTCGTAAACGGTTAAGGTCGGAATTCTGGTCGGACTAATCGCAAAACCTGTCGAGCGTCGACAGCTTGTACCAAATCTTAAATGCTGATTGATAATCACGCGAATTAGCATACCTGTGTTTGTGAATGAGGTGTTAGAATATTACAAGTATGTCATCTCGCTAAACAATCTTCTTTCTCACGACTACTGAATATTCTTTCATTGACAAGAGAAGGATAGAGAGTACTTTATCCTTCGTCAACTGACCCATTCTCAGTTCCTGAAATGAATTATGATCTTAATGTTTTGCAAGAGTGCCTTTTTCGGCTGATTTTGCAAAAGTCAGTATGTTTCTATCAGTCCTTATTGATAAATTAAAGCGCGATTGAATGTGCTAAATGTACTGAAATATTTAAAAAAGTTCAATTATTTGAAAGCTTTTGCAGATCTTTATTAATCGCGAACATTTTTCTGAAGGAAAATATTCATCACTTGAAACAGAGTGAGGTGAGGTCCAGATATAGGACGTACATAACTCAACCGCTTTACGAACTTAATCGAACTACGATAAGTGTTTTTATGCTTATGCTTGAAAATGTAACAATATACGGTGTACTTATGCCGCCTTTTGTGTCATTTTCCCTGACAACGAACAATTTCCATTCCATTCCATTTATCATACCACAGCATTTCTGCATTCCTTAAATCGCGGAGCAAACGTTGAACTTTAAAAGTTACCTTACAACGTTGCCTTCTAAAAATTGACCTAATGCTTCGGCAGCTTATGAGCCACACCGGCCGTTCAGGGGTGCAGAAAGAAATTTATAGGCCGATCGCGGAGCAAATGTGAGGGCACCTGCAAAGGGGTAAAAAATATGAAAGTATCTGGAAAGGGGGGGGGGTGAAGGCAGAAGGCATATACCTGCTGAGCGCGTCGCTTTTTGTGAGGGAAAAAAATGTGTAACGCGCTCTCTTGTGCGAAGAAAATTGTTAAGCGCCCTCGGAACTTTTTGCATCCCTGTCGGCTACCCTTGTTACTAGGTGCATTGAAGGCTGAAGTCGAAAAATACGTGCCTCTGATTGCGACGTAAAAAATCTTCGTGCATGTTTTTTTTCTTCCCTGATAAATCAAGCCATCGGTTTTTCTTGAAAGTTCCAGTAAGTTTTCTTCGCTCTTTCAAAAAGCTTATAGAAACTTTAAGAAAAGCGCTTTGGTTGGTTTTCAATTGAAGAAGTAGAAGATGATAAGATGCATAATGAACGTAAAGGTGGAGATGAACATTTTGGGACTGTGCTCATCGATATCACACACCCAATCAAAAAATAAACACGAAACATTGAGAAATGTGGCTGTTTGCTGGAAACGGCTCATACCAAAGTCTCATAGGGTGGCATCCCTGCTGGACAAATTAGAAATGGAGTAGAATAGAAACATTATACATCTTTAGAATGGAACAAGAATTACCCAAATTCACGCTCAGGCCCGTCGCGAGAGGCTAAAAAGGCGCCAGCCCTGTGTGGTGGCTAAAAATTGGTAGGGTTTTGGAACTTATTCTATTTTTCAAAGACTCCGAGTGTTTCGTGGTTGGTACTTTTTACAACTTTCTAGACCTTTATCCACGGCAAAAAGCTGGTTACTTTTACAATTGGATATCCCAGAACTAAAGTCTTAGAGAAATTTCCGTTATATGCTCAATAAAATTGACTAGGCTTATCCCTGCCTGGCTTACTTGTTAGCCCTTCTTGTCCTTCCTCATCGAGATGGGGGAGAGGGGCGTCAAAATTGATGTCAACGTGAGTTACGATTCCTGGATGTATGAACGCCAAAGGGAACCAAGTAGCACAGTAGCACTCATAAATCATGAACATAGTTCGTTTCGCTTTAATTCATTTGGCTATAGTTTCATTGTGCGCTCAATTGAATGTATTTTGGCGAAAAGAAACTATGTTACAGTAATGTACGTAGACACAGTACACATAGTTCCTTTTAAGACTTCCAATTTGCCCTCGTGACGTCCTTTTCACGCTCGCGTGGTACATGATTTAAGTTTCCAGAGAACACCTCAAGATCATTAGAATTATGTACAACAAACCATATGGAAGTGACTGTAAAGAAATAATGTCATCAGAGAGACTGTTTACAGTGACCTCTTTATACATCTATGAATGTATTAAATATGCAGTAGAAGGAGAAATAATAAAGCCGGCTGATCTATTTCCCACACACAACTACAACAGCAGACACTTCTTCATCCCCAACAATTCCACCAAGTACAACATTTCTGAAAACAGTGTTAAGTTTGCTTCTATTCAGCTGTTCAATGCTCTCCCTCTAAATATTAGACTTCACTTTAAGAACTCAGAGATCAGCAAATTTTTTTCACATCTGAAATCGTTTCTTTTGGCTGAATCCTTTCAAGATCTCTCTGAGTTTTTCACCACTGCTTAACTTCCTAACTTAATGTTCTAGTATTGATAACTCACGGTATTCACTCTCTCTGTTTTCCAACTTGCTGTTATTGCAGGTTATAAATTTATTATAAGATAAATTTGTTTTAACGTCTTTTTTGTAACTAAATAACATGTTAACTAGTACAATAGCCCCATATGGTGGCTTTATGTATGTTATGTAAAAAATAAAAAATAAAAAAAAAAAGTTTTGAGACCCCAACATTGACAACCGAAAGAATCCATACCTTCATTTTCGGCGTCGAGTCCAAACACATGCAGCTGGAACACGAAGACAGCCAGCAGGATGATGGAAATTCTGAAGTAACGATGCATCGTGACACATTCTGATCTCACATGTCAAACTTCGAAACGAGGGCATAAAACACAACACTCAAACACCCGGCGAGACACACACTCAGTTTCCAGGTGAAAACTCGAGTCACACTACCAGACACCGTACATCCAAGTTGAGGTCACTGTATCCAAGTTTAGAGCATCGTATCCGAATCCGTTCGCAACCGAACACACTTTTAGGTTACCGGAATGTGAATGTAAACAAACCCGAATCCCAACGCCGATCGCGGATAAACTGAAAACTTCTACAATTTGGAACTGATTACTATCGGAACTGCTAGTAAGCGCGTAACATTTCACATTTTGAATAGAAACAATTGTGTTTTTTACAGTTTACGAGCCGAAAAGTTTTGAGTTACGGGGCGAAGTGCAGGAGACACGGCGTAACTCCTCACCGGCGAGCGACCATCGAGAACTGAATTCAAGATACGTACCCGCGTGTTGTTTCGGCCAGTAGCGGCTGTTGCGCCGGGCGCTGATTTGTGAAATTGGGTACTGCTATCTAGCGGAGAGAAACGAAACTAGCGAGCGGCGCAGAGCTTTGCATTCAGTATCAGTATCTCCAAAGCTCCTTACTCTAAAGATTCATCACTTCACCTTTTAACCCCAAGACCGTTCCATGTAATGGGTGTTAAAATTTAAAATATCATTTCAATCGCAATATTCAAAATCCTTAATCTAGCTAAATTGCATTCTAACTAACTCGATTAAAGCAAGTTTTGTCACATTGAAAAAGAGCATCGGGTCTACTTTCCTTGAAATCATCACTCAAAAAGCCAACATAATTGCTGTCACAAATTATCCTTACCGCGATTTGATTTATAACTTGTATGCAAAATATGAATGCGACGGAGAGGATGAGAAAGCATCGTAAGCAACTGAAAGAAAATCGCAGCAGTATAAGACCCACACTTCTGCGAAACCATCGAAAGGACTTGTAGCAAAGAAAGATCAAGGAGAAAAATCTTAAATTGAGTGAGAAAAACTCCGAAGAGAACGAAAACTCGGAAAAAGGAAGAGGAGATGACATGAAAAACAGAGGGATAAAAACGGCACGCTTAATTCAAACCAAGGTATTCTAGGATCGCACATGTGCGCGCCAACTTTGGGCATCCCTTCACAGCTTTTGAAGAAACGAAAAAAGAAGAAGACGAAGAAGAAAAGGCATGACACGAAAGTCATGCCTCGGGTCATACCCATGAAAGGGAACGAAGCTACCGGAGAGCGCGAATCGTTGCCTACGCGATAAACACCCATTTGTTTCGCTCCAAAGAACCAATAGACATTGTGCAAACCTTTTGGCAGATATCCGTCCACTTGAAAGTCGCCTTCAATTTTGCCGCATAGGCAACAAACATACCGGAGAGCTCGAATAGTTATCTTTCCGATAAACATACATAAATCTTGACCAATAAGCTGTGATTCAACGGGGCTCAGGTTTTTGTTGCCTTAACCAACATTTGAGGGAATTGCAGCTCAGTGAATTGATTTACAGTTCAGCAATAACCACCGAAAATTAAAATAAAAAGAATATATCATTTGTGCTGGAATGTTCCAACCTGGGAAAATTATGAATTATTTGGCGTTTCTTCTTTATTCTGGAAAAACAATTTTGTTTACATCTCGGATTTAAGGGCAAACCATATTTACTAGACACGTCAGTGTCAACTTGCTAATTTAGTTGTGTTGATCACGACAGTGATTAGACAGTTTTGAACGTCCATTTTGACATATACGTCCCTTTATATATGCATTCGTCGGTTACCACTGTAAGAATGACGTAAAAGTAGGTGTGCATTCGGAAACGATCAAATTGCGTAATGACCGGAATGAATGTCAACTTCATAATTTAATTAGAAGAGGAAGTTGAAATCAAAGGGCTGTTCATTCATGATCACCAAAAAATGTGTGTCATGTACAAAGTAGTGGGTGTTATAGATTATGAAATAACGTCTTTTGATCAGCATTATTCATCTAAATTGATAAGGATGTGATGCAACGAGTGAGTCAGTAAGTTTTCCAAAAAAAAGAACCACAGAAAAAATGCAGTGTTGATTGTGGAGTCATTGGACTGTGATGTATTTGTTTTCATTCCTTCAGCGATCGCAACAAAATGGACTTTTTTGCATAAGATCGGAAGCGGCAAAAACTAAGGAGGATTAAATATATACGTTGGTTGGTCGATGAAACGTATAGTTTTACTCCGGCCGCTGATTTTGTGATGAATCTATTTGACCAATTCCAAGGAGCAAATGCAAAAAGCAGTATTTTTGTGCAGGAAATTGGAGCCCTTGAAGATTCAAAAAGATGATTTTACTGGTGTTGTTCGTGTTTATATCCGTCTCAGTAAGTTCAGCTCTCACAGAGCTTTTCCTCATATCATGTCAGGGAAAAATACTCAATTTTCTTTTGAAATTCTGGAGCCGAAGTCTTTTCGATTTATGGTTATTTTACGTCGCTCCTCAGGAAATAGATAAAGAAGGAATAAAATTGTATAAAATGTGATTCAAATAAAAGGATTTTCACGGAATTCGTCTACAGGTGTTTTGAAAACCAAAATTAGTTATTTTTTGATGAAATACGATGAAGCATTGACCTCAAAATTGTCACGAGCCCCCCCCCCCCCCCNTTCACTCCCTTCCGATTTAACTTTTAAGGGAACCATGACTGCGATAAAGAATGTATCAATTTTTTTTCCAAAATTACTTTTCTACTTCCAAATTTTACGTTTTTTGGAATAGGCATATTTGTTATCTTAATTTTCACTTGGGTTGCAGTAATAGTTGTTGAACTTAACCTATCAATCGTGCTTTTTTCGCAGGAAGCTTCAAATATCGACGGAAAACCGCCTTCACAGGGCACGTTCAATTACCTCACAAAGACACGTGAATTCATCGACAAGTCTTTGCTGATCGAATATATTTTAAAGAGCCGCAGGCACATCTATATTGCGGCTCCGCCGAGTTTTGGCAAATCCACCAACCTGCAGATGCTCAAAGAATTTTTCGCTTTGGAAGTGGACTCTAGCGGGAACTTCATCGATCCGGCAAAAATTCTAAAAACGGAAGAGGACTTTCAAAGCACCCCGAGAAGAAGTAAAAACAGCCGGCAGAGCACCTCGACAGAGCGTGGCACTTTCATCACCGACACCAAAGGTCAATGTGTCTACGTAAACGTGTCAAAACCTAATGACAGTTTTGGGCACCCCCTAAGGAACTACGATACCTTCTCACAGCTGAAAATACATAAGAAGTCACCGAAACTTTTCAAGGCCCAGCTCGCTCGGTATCCTGTCCTCTTGGTCAATTATGAATCTCTTTCCACAAAATCTTTCCAAGACTATGTGCGTTCTTTTCGGTTAATGATTTCAAAGCTCTTTGATCCATTTTCGTACTTATTGAAAAGAAACGTGCTGACCCAAGGTTCCAAGGACGAATTCTCACTCTTTCATGACCTCAAACTGAACAAAGAACTGTGCCTAGACGAGGTACGTATGAACGGGATATAATTAAATGTTGAGTAAAAAACACAGGAAAAATTAGTGACCAAGGCTAAAAACAAACGACAGCCTGGGACTTTTTTTTAAACACGTTGGGGTTTTGATTTTTATAATTTTACATATATATTGTTTCCTGGTTAAGGAGGGGGTTATTTGGGTTTGGATTTTTATAATTTTAAATATATTTTGTTTCCTGGTTAAGAAGGGGGTTAAAACCACCCCAAAACGTTCAGGCTTTTTGTCTCAGCCTTGGTTACCTATTTTTCTTGAATTATTCGGGCTATTCTTGTGTATTATTTTTAAGCATTCAGTAATAGCACGTTCCACGTATAAATATATATTTCCATTCATTGGCGGTACAAAAAAAATTTGTACATGCATCAATTTTTGAGAAGAACAGATCTGTCACATACAGTGCATGCACTAGTGAATATGGCAAGCGCGCGGCGCGCCGCCTTAAAGATAATCATCAGATAAAGGAACAGAATCCAAATAATTTAATTAATACTTCCTAATTTTTTCTGAATACAGGTTCGAGAAAAAATTATCAGAACCATGATGACAATGGTGAATGACTCCTTTAAATTTTGTTCTGAATCTGCAAATGCTTCAATTTACATTGAACATGTGCACTTGGTGTTTGGACGCATCTAGTTATTTGTTTTGTTGAGTTTCAACTAAAAAGAATCAGACTTGTTACATTTCTTTGATCTAGCCATTGAATAAAACCCACATATTTCTGATCCTACCAAATCTTATTTCCATTGTCATTAGTTCACGACACTTTCTTTACAGATTATCCTCGGAGGAGAGAGGCTGGTCCATCTGTTATCAATTTATCATGACCGCAAGTCGATAATTCTCGTGGACAACTTCGATGTGCCCATTCGCAAGGCTCTTTTAGCGTCACATCTCGATGAAGAAAGCTTTCGGAGAATCATGTGGAGTACTTCCCAATTCGTTGAATTACTCATAAAAAGCAGATTCGTCTCCCGGATTGTGGTAACCGGTAATCTCAGAATCAACGTCACAGAGGGATTAGCGCACATCTCCATTCTCGAAAATGAGCAATTGTTTCGGTGAGAATGTTTCCGATTGAAAAAATATTTTAAAACTCACTGGAGGAAAAAAAAAAAACACATTGGATCTCGAGTTCAGACTCTGATATTTCACTTTCCCTGATATTTCCAGGTATCCCCTGACATTTCCCCGTTTTCCCTGACTGTGGCAACATTGCTTTTAATGAGTATTCATGGATCTTACTTACCAACCACCAAAACAGATATTAAGACACGTTCAAAGAGACTTTTCAAGTGTGAAAATGAGCCAGATTCTTGATCATGAACGATAAACGTACCTGAAACAAATAGAAATCATAAAAATTAATGACAAAAAAAGAGGCTGTACATATGTTGCAGGATATTAGCAATCGCCGAAAAATTACAATCTATAGGTATTTAATACAAAAATTGAGAAATTTAGAATGTAGTCAACACCCGCATGTCGCTTGCGAATAGCCAGCGATTGCTGACTGCCTGCGACACATAGTATAACCATTTGCAAATAAACATTATTTGTTTTTCGTTATTTTTGGCTGCCGGCAGTGTATTCGATCACTGGAAAAAAAACACATTGGATCTAGAGTCCAGACTCTTGAAAACATTGACAAGAAAAAATACTCTTGATTCAATCGGATTTTTGCTTGAGTCAAAACGAAATCCGCTTAAATTAAGAGGCTTGGTTCTTGATTTAAGCTAGATTCTGATTGAATCAAGAGTACTTTTTCTTGTCGATTTTTTAAGAGTCTGGACTTAAAATCCAATGTGTTATTTTTTTTCCAGTGCTGTGATTGGAGCATTACTTAAGCACTTCTCAATGAAAAATATAATTTTTTGCATTTCACTGGGATTAACAGAGGGTTCTAGGCATTCTAAAAACCATAGTATCAGTGAACGACTGAGATATTATAATCTCCGAGCCCACACACGCGTGTAACCTCAATACTTAGCTTAGTTCTGGGTCGAAATTTTTGGAGACTATTCTCTGATTACAAAGAACGAAAGAAAATATCATTGTTATCAAGCATAAGATTTTCTACATCCACTTCTAGTTTACTAAAACTTATTCCGTTTTCCTCCTACTTATGGATATTCTAATGAGATATTATTTTGATACATTGAGTGAAATGAACATAATTCATCTTTTGACTGAATCAAAATAATGAAATAAGAAGAGAAGAAAAAAAAGAACTCTCCACTTTCGATTGTGAAATCGCGAATCGAGTGTCGATTTTTCTTCCTCTCTTTTAAATCCTTGAAGCGATGTGTTATTCACATCATGTGAATCAGCTGTATCGGCTTTACACAGAGGGAGGTTGAAAGCACGACTGAAAATCAGATGATATAATTTTAAAAAGATATCCTAAAAGTTTCAAATAAGACGGCTGCCTCAAAACTGTACAGATTCGTTTTTTCATTCACAGAAATCTGATAAGTCTACGAGTCTCATGAGTTTTAATACATGTAAAATCTATGCTGAGTAATTTTAATTCAAAAGTATAATAATAATAAAAAAATTGGATTTTTGATTATATACTCTGATTTTCAGGTACTACGGACTAACGGAAGGAGATATATCAATACTCGCAAGAAGATTTGACAAACAAATAAACATTACTGACGTCAAAAATTGGTACGGCGGCTACACAGTAACGCGTGAGTGCCACAATCTTTGCAATACGCGGTCAACGCTGAGCTATTTTGGAACAGGCGAGCTTAAGTTGTACCGAAACGAGTCTCATAAGTTCGAAAATCTAAAAAAAATCTTCAACCACAAGAGTATGAGGCGAAACGTTCAGAATAATACGAGGACAACGCTTGACACCGGAAAAAAGATCGAACAGAGTCACCTCAAACATCTAAGGTTGGCAATCTTCAACCCTAAGCAAACTCTCACGATTAGTGATAAAGACCTGATCTTACAGATCCTCCTAGATCATGGCTTCTACAGTGTGAAAGACAAAAATAGACTTTACGTGCCGAATATTGAAGCTATGCTAGACATAAAAAAATTGCTCTAAAATTTTCTAACTACACTTCTGCCGAACTAAAAATCACCAACAAAACCGTTCATATTTATGTCCCAGAGATGCATGGAGTTTCATGAAATTTCCTATGCAATTTCATTTCGCTGAAAAGTGAAACTCTATTATCCATGAAATTCCGACGATTTCAGGAGTTGCATATACAATCTGGGACAGTTATCAGAGAATTCGATAAAAAAAAAAAAAAAAAAAAAAAAAAAAAAAAAAAAAAAATTTTTGGCTCACGATATTTTTCCTCAACATTTCAAAATGAAGAGTTTACTTTTTCTATGCGTTTCATGGGATACTGCTTCTACTGCAGCTTTTTTAAAAAAAATAGTTTTCTTTGTTTGCTCAAGTTTCAATAAATGTATTTCAAAAATTTTCATGAAATTTTGCATTTGCAATTAGTAATGCCTTAAGGGAGGGAATTTTAGGACAAAAAGGATACATAATCGTCGGTTAATGACGCTGAAATTTCTGTTGTGTAAAAACTTAAACAACGTGAGGGGTATATTTTATCCTAATTTTGCTAGTTATTAATCGCCCGAAATTGCTACATTATTCAGAGGCGGTCATCTTGTAGAGAAATAAACCCTACTTCTGTTTTTAAACATTCCCAAACGCACGCATGATAAAAATTGTTAAGCCTGCTCTTTTAAGCGAAATTCAATTTCTAAATCATTCCTTAAAATAAATTTAACTTTCTTATTATCAATGAATTACGCTATAGTTTTGTAGCAAAATGTACCGAATCAATCATATGTATTAATTTATATGCTTATTTGGGCCGTTTATAAAATAAATAAGACTCTACACGCGCGGAAAAATATGGGAGAAGGTGGGCCTGGACTGACATTACAGGGAAGAAAAGGTGTTTAGGACTGCGTTATGTAACGCTAAAACGGGGGATTTCTCAAAAATATTAGATGAAAATTCGACAGAGGGTAATTTTCTCTTCAATATCCATTATAAAACCTTAAATTGAGGGAAAGGGTCGAACAGAGCGCTTCGTGATTTTTTACGGGGTGATTTCTATGGGGTGAAGAACTGTGTGGCAGGTGCATTACAAGGGGGATGAGGGAGTCAAAAATCCTGTGGAGGGTCAGACCAATCCAGAGCTGTCGTCGATTTTTGATTAGGATGAACGAATCGTGCATGTTGCTGGCAACAAATACTGGTACTGGAGACAGCAATAAAAATTGGAACCTAAGAAGCGCCTTCAAATGGACGAGTATACATAACACCACAACTATCAAGTGAGTAAAGTTGTATCAGTAATAAATGAAGGCGCTTGAGAAAACATACGCGATCTAAGTACTAAAAAGTAAGCGGTCTCTTGAAGCAAATTAGGAAGCTCTTGTATGAAAGAATATAGGTACATCATGAAATTAGAATATCAAGCTAGGTGTTATCAAACATATCCATACTCATGTTCCTCTCATTTAAACAACTGAGAATATAACAGCAGCACAAGATTAACGTAAAGTAAATATAAAATCCGAATACATCCAAGTAATTGAAAGGCATAATCTGCAATCCTTATATCCTTTATATGTACCTGTACTGGTTTTTTTTATTATATAATACTTATGATTTAATATACCCGGTACTAGATTGCTGGAAAAACAGGGCTATGCCTTAGTCGCTCGTTCAAGAGGAAGGGGTAGATTCTGCTATGGGTTCCAGTACAAAAAGCGAATGTATGTAACACTGTGTTCTTGTCTGATACACGGAATGAAATTAAATCTTGATTTAGCATTTATACTGTTAAAAAGATTTCCGACAAGTTTCAAATGCTGATTTTACATTTTAACGAATGCTAACGTAACTACGCCCACTGCAAAACGTACAAATTAAAATTTTATGTTACCATTTTTGTATTGTAAAATCAGCATTTGAAACTTGTCAGACATCTTTTTAACAGTATAAATGCTAAATCAACATTTAATTTTTTTCCGTGTACTTTATTGAGGTGGGTTAAAATGAGCAACCCTGCCACCGGGGGGGGGGGGGGGGGGGGGGAGGGTGGTTGGGAGGTCCCCTGCCAAGAGAGGTTAAAATTTACAAAAAATTCGTATCCTTTACAATGAAACAACTCGTCAAGAATTGAGCTCCATCATAACTGGAGAAGTGAAGGGTAATTCTATCATTTCTTGTATCTTGCATAGTACTCCTGAGGGACGCCAGATTTTGAGGGTATATCGAGTCCTTCTGAAATCCTAGGCTTGAAGGAGGATTATCCCACTTCCCCTTGATGAAAAAAACCAGTGGCGTGGCGTGGCGTGCTTTCCGATATATCGATTGTTATGCCATTTAAACCTATGGTAAAGAATCGATTATTAAGGTGTTCGCTGCGAACACCCTGTTTATCGATCCTTTTCCATAGGTTTAAATGGCCGATCAATCGATATATCGCAATGCACGCCACGCCACTGAAAAAAACCTAACAAACAAACAAAACTAGGGACTGGCCCGACTGGCCTTTGAGATCCTTTTGGCTTTGAGAAAAAAAGGTATAAACCTTTATGAAATTAATTATGAAATCCTCGTTTGAGTATCGTGAGGAAACCCGTGTACCACACATCTTACAGCAAAACTACGAAAAACTTTCCAAAAACAAAGGAATTGTCAAAAACATTGCAAAGAAATCGCATACAGTATGGTGTCGGCCCAGTACTAATTTAACCCTTACAATCGCCCTTCATTTTTTGTCGAAACCAATTTTTTATGATGAAAGTTGGCGTTTGAGATTATCGGAATCAATTGAGACCACTTTAATTTTTCGATCCTCCATAAAACCTAACCCAAACAACTGCACGCGCTAACATAGACGAAGACTGAAAGGGTTAAGGTCTTGTTGTTATCACCCCTATTTATCTAAAATGATAGTGGAGTTTTACGCTGGTTGAGTGAGATCTCGTTAAATAGAACAGAAGTACAGTGTCGGTCATCGAGGTTTTGTTTTGAGGCAAATGCTTGCTCCTCCATAGATTAATATAAAACCCGAAACTTTTCCAAGATGGTAAAATTCGCAAAAAAGTAGCATTTCATAAGTGATACATCTGATGATCGAGTAGTGATGAAATTGTATATTCATTTCCAAGGATCAGATGCGAAAGACAAGTCTTTTCCTGAAAATATTCGAACCTTCGAGAAGGCAAAAAAATGATTTTACAATTGCTGTCTCTAATCATATCTGCTTCAGTAAGTACTATTTCCATGTAATATTCAAATTTGGGGTCAGGAGTTGTGAAATGTATGCACTTTAAACAATTTTGGGAATAGGCGTGGTTAAAATTGAACTGCATGACTCTAGTTCCGAAATTTAATCAGAGGCGAGGCGCGAATGATCGGTTATCGATGTTTCCCCATTCGAAGCTATAGTACAGGATCGATTATTAAGGTGTTCGTTGCGGATACTCTGTTAATCGATTCTTTCCCATAGCTTTAAATGGCAGATAAATCTTTACATCGCAAAGCACGCCACGTCAATGACTTTCATGAATAATATTGAAGCGATGCGTAGAACGTTCAAACTTTTAAAATATACAAACAGACGCATGCATGCATGAAAATAATGGTAAAAAGATTGAAAAAATAATAGAGCCACAAGCCAAAAATTAATTAAACAAATAATATATTAAACTACATAGAGATGAGAAATAATAAAAAACTTACAGGAAACAAAACAAAACAGACGTTTCGACCGCCAACAAGTCTGTTTTGTTTTGTTTCCTGTAAGTTTTTTATTCTTTCTCATTTCTGTGTGGTTTGAAATATTATTTGTTCAGTTTTTTTGGCTTGTAGCTCTATTATTTTTTCAATATTTTAACCATGATCTTTGAAAGCCAGCCAAATTGGCATTAAAATGCATGAAAATAATCCACTGTGGTGTCACTCATCCTCCGAATTGTTAAAGATTATTTCAGTGAAATTCACTCCCATAATGTTCGCCCTTGTGTTTATTTTCTCTGCGTAGAAAGCTTCAAATACCGGAGAAGAACAACGTAAATATACCATTTTCAAGGAACTAACGAAGACGCGCGAATTCATTGACAAATCCATGCTGATCAAATTCATTCTGGATAACCACTGGCATATCTACATTGAGGCTCCTCCTGGCTTTGGCAAGACTACAAACCTGCAAATGCTCCGGGATTTCTTTGCCTTGGATGTCAATGGGCCTGTTGCAAACTTTTGCTAGAGCAAAACTGAGAGTTGTTCCTTACAGATAATGCTTCAAAAATCACGATGAGCGCATCGGCAAAGTCTGAAATGCACTCATAACTTCACAATCTGCCCAAGAAATTTGCGGTTTTTTGAGCTTCCCGCTTCGAAAACGATACTACGGTACAGGTGAACATTTTGTTAAAGGAGTCGTTCCATTGGCGGCAATACTCATCATGGCCGACGCCAGTCCGCCGAAACACCTGTGATGGGACGAGATAACATCTGAACAGGATTAAACCAGATAACAATCGGCGTGTTTACGTTTATATTTTCCTCGCCCGCCTTAATTGATCTTGAACTCTCCTCGAATTACTCGCGGAACTGCGCAAGCGTCGGCCATGATGAATATTGCCGACGATGGAGGGACTCATCTAACAAAATGTTCACCTGTGCAGTAGTATCGTTTTTGAAGCGGGAAGCTCAAAATAACGCAAATTTCTTACGCAGATTGTGAATTTATGAGTGCATTTCAGACTTTGCCGATGCGCTCATCGTGATTTTTGAGGCATTATCT